GCCCCCCTGCTCTCGGCGCTCGTGGTCTGGCGGGGGTCGCCCCCCTGCTCTCGGCGCGCGCTTTCTAGAGGGTGCTGCTGAGCGCGCGCTCTGGCAGATGCTGCCCCTCCTGCTCTCTGGCGGGTGCTGCTGTGCTCTCCGCGCGGCGCGCGCTCTCTGGCGAGTGCAGTCTTCTCTGCCCCGCAGGGATTGGGATCGGGGGGTTGTCAAATCCCATCATGCCCTTCCGACCACAATGGACTAGATGCCCCTCGCAGTCAGCAGCAGTCCCCGCACCTGGGGCAGCCTTCAGCTCGCGCTCCCCACGGCACCCGGCGTCACAGCGCGATCTGGAGCGGCTTGGGGCTTCCCCTGCAGAGCAAGGCCTGCGCTAGAGCTGTGTGTGCTGCATAGCTGGTGGTCTCTGCCCTAGGTCGACTGTTCTGAGAGCCTGCGCCACCATGACTGAATTGTAACCTTCTGCCTCCCTCCCAGGCATGAGAGGGTTCATGACAGCCCATGGGCAGCCAGACCAGCCAAGATCCGCTCGCTACGTGCTGAAAGATTACGTCAGCGTAAGTTCTCACTGCCCTGCTGAGCTGCTCCGCCCATGCAGGGAGGTGCTGCGTCCGCCACGCTTGCTGTTTGAGCCAGAGGGACTAGGAGAGGAACGGGCCCTGCCCGGCCGGGGGGGATGGCAGCCAGCAGCGACCTAGGCCGCCAGGCTCGCCGAGCAGGAAAGTGGATCTCGAAAGCACACGCACGTAGTTAGACAGAGCACTCCCCTTGCTTAGTGGGCCAGGCACTAGCCACCTTCTGACCGCCGCGCCCCAACCGTGACCACAGCGCTCCTTCGCACTGTTCCAGTCCCCCTCGCTGCACGATCCCAGGGTGCCTGCCTGCCTTCCCCTGCTGGCACACTTGGGAGCTCTGTTCTGTGCCCATGTGGCAGCCGGGCAAAGGGAAGTGTGCATAAGGGACTTGCCAAGCGTTCGAGCGAGTCTCTGGAAGAGTCGGGGAGTCCCGGCAGCCTGCTGCTTCTCGCCACTAGCCGTAGGTTTGCGCTCCACGTTGCAGTCACCCTGGCCCTCCCAGGGACTGGCTGGGAGGTTTGTGCCATGAGCATGAAAGCTGGCTTTGTTTTTTACAGGGTAAGCTGCTGTATTGCCATCCTCCTCCTGGCATTGACCCAGGAGCCTTCCAGCACCAGCATGACCGATACGCCCCACACAGAGCTACGCAGGCCAAGGCCGAAAGGAAGCCAGAAAGGAATCAGAAAGCAAAACAGATTGAAAATGTGGTGGACAAAACATTTTTCCAGCAGGTGAGTTCTGGAGTCGTTGCCTTACAGGCACGCGTGCTAGTAGCAAAGGGTCTGGCTACACTGCCGCCCTACTTCGAACTAGGGTGGCTAATGGAGGCATTCGAACTTGCAAATGAATCCTGGCATTTAAATATCCCGGGCTTCATTTGCATGTTCCCGGGCGCCGCCATTTTTAAATGCCCGTAGTTCGAACTCCCTGCCCGCGGCTACACGCGGCACGGACTAGGTAGTTGGAATTAAAGCTTCTAATTCGAACGACCATTAAACCTCCTTGCAGGAGGAATAATTTGCAAGTTCGAATTAGGAGCTTTAATTCGAGCTACCTAGTCCCTGCTGCATGTAGCCACGGGCAGGTAGTTCGAACTAAGGGACATTTAAAAATGGCGGTGCCAGGGAACATGCAAATGAAGTCTGGGATATTTAAATCCTGGGCTTCGTTTGCAAGTTCGAATGCCTCCATTCCCCCCAGTTCGAAGTAGGGCGGCAGTGTAGCCAGACCCACAGGCTGCGCATCTTTAGACTGTAACCAAGGAGGAAGTTACCAGCAGCTGCTGAAGTGGGACAGCTGTAAATCAGCAGGCGTCCAAGAACCTTCCAACGCGTGGGAAGGAGCAGTGAGGGCCGGGAGTGCTGCCTTTCAGTCTCTTGCTACTTTGGAGGTGGCGCTTCGAGGGGTGCACCCCTGCCGGTGTGGAGCGCCGCTGGAGTAGCAATGCCCGTGGGGCAGTACGTGC